ATGACAATAAAAGCAGACGAGTCCATGGCGCTGTGACAGGCATGGGAATGTCTCACCTCCGCGGTAATGCTGCCGTGTCAACAACGCAAGACCTGAGCATATGAGGTTTAGTTTTGCAACTTCACTCTGGCTGCTTATTATATTTGTACAGTGCATTGTCATGATCTAGTATGTGTTTATCTTTTATCATCAACATACAAGACCAAATATTGGAAAAGGAATCAGAAACAGCTGTCGGCATTGTGTGAATGTACGTTAGTGTCTACGGTGAGATCGTCCTTGCTTCAGATGTGTGAAAAGATGTGGTAGATAATTAGACTAAGTGTATTACAAGTTTAGGAATTATTTTATTTATTGTAATGCTTAAACAATACATTTAGTTTGCTCCATAGAAAGAGTGGTAAAAATAGAATCTTGTGAGCAAATCAGACCACAATTGCTGTCTTTTGCTGTTATCTTTTACAATGATCCAAAGATGTGACAGAGTTCATAAAATGCATGCTTATGAAGACAGTTTTGAGAGTGAGGAACAAGTTGGATGGATTTTAGTGTATAGTTTATTTTCTTTGGTTTGAAAGTTTTCAATATTTTAAAGATGCAGAAAAGGTTTAATATAACCCTTCCAAAGGCAATTCATTAAAGTAAAGTTGAATTGGATAAAAGTAGTTTCCAAACTCTTACACTGAAGCAGATCATTTAAATTGGCTTTTATAGTTTTTTTCAAGAGAATGAACAAACCCTCAGATTCTCTTTTAGTATAGTTTCCCCTTCGACTTTACAGTAGGTGCTGTTATCACTGAAAACACGTTTGTGTTGTTTCTGCCTGTAAGTGATACTTATTACTGTATAGAATCTGTCTATAAATGTCCTCATTTCATCTGTTTGTGTATTTGTGGCAGTATGAAGTGGACATAACCACAATCCCTTTATCACAGCCTCTAAACAGTTTCATGGGACTAAAGCCCAGAGGAGAAATGTGGCATGCATTTAGATTATCAAAGTGGAGTGCCTTTAGGGACACTGTAGCTGAATGCATCATTTTAAATAGGTCTATAGAGAGCTATGGTCTGACACCGAGGAAAAGAATGTGTTGGACTCATGATTAGTTATTTACTTAACTGATAAAATATACGAAATGAGAACCGAAATGAGAAATGTTTTATTTAATGAAGTGAAGAGCATGATCAACAAATTAAAAGTAAATATTGTTTTTCTTAAGGCTATGTCGGTGGATTTAAAATTGGGGGCATGAATTAAATATTTCTCGCATAATAAAAATAAGTAGGTGCTATGGGGAACTCTGGTTCTCCAGTGAGCGTGAACTTTAAGATATTACCCTGTCCAAGTCTGCAAGTCGTCTTCAGATAGATCAGTTTAGAGCTAGTACATCCCAAGCTTACATTCCATTTACGCATGAATTTTAGTGTCTAGAATAAACGCTTTATGGTATATTCTCAACAGAAAGCCTCAGAAGCTGGACAAACATCACTTCCTTATCTTTCAGGGATTAGATCAAATGGTTTTTGAAAAAACTAGATACTGGCTCTAGAATTCTCCACTGTCGACATCTACAACATCCATGCATTTACCCACTTGCTTGGAATCTCTCTTTCTCTCTCTCATTTCTCTTGTTATTCTGGAGACCATTTGTGAATGGACCGTCATTTTAGTAACATTTAGATTATACAGTACAATTGAACACTTTCCTCTTTATTATTTGCAACATGCTTTTTTTACTGCAATTATGTGCTATGTCTTTTACTTTCTCCATCATTGTTGGCTCTCCCTGCTGTTCAATCAGACTCGTAGGTGCACTGCTTTTGTCTCCCAGCCTTGAAGTTATAATGAGGCCTGTATGTTTGTGTGAAAACAACAAAGAATTGTGGTCTATTTTATCATCTTTTCCCTCCGTAGAGAAGGCGGGGAGGGCGCTGCTGGTTTGTTTTGGTATTGAAACTGACAACGGGAGCAGATTTGGAACCAAAAAGTAATGAGTCTTCTGAATATTCCATTGCAGGCATATTTTACCCATGACATTCATTTAGACAACAAACGGATGCAAAATACAAGTGACTGATTTTTTTGCTCACTCTCTTTCATTCACATCTGATAAAAGATGCTTGTAAAGTCCACCACATTTCTGTTTAGTGAACTGTGAGGAAGTGGCATATAAAAGGCAACTGTGTGGAATACAGCTTTGCCAAATATTACAAGCGACCCTTTAAAAAGCTTCTGACGCCACAGCTTACAATGCTGTCAGTGGGGGGTATATTTTTTCCCTTATATGACTTTTCACTAGCTCATGTTTGTCAGAACCACAGTGCCATGTTATCATTCCTATCTCTTGTTAATACAGAAGGCTTTTATTCGTTCGGTAGTTTATTTTAAAGCTGTCATGCTTAATGGCGCTGCACACCTGCCCCTTGTCCAACAGCGTGAAAGTCATCAGGCCACAGCACGTACTCCAAATACCACTTCAAGATAATTTAAGGAGACGTATTATGCTTAATTGACTTTTTGGAGCTTTTAACCGCATTACCACATTGTGCCTCATCAGTCACAGACCTTGAGTTGTTTTTAGCTAATGCTGATATCAGGAACTTCTGGCACAATCTACCTCCACACCTTCTGTCTAAAAGCTCCTGCCTCAGTCCTGTAGAAGTATGATGTCATTGTACCACTTTGACATCATACTTATAGTATTTTTTCACCAGTTTCTGCCTTTTAAAACAAAGGTATTATAAAAACATGAACTAGTTTCTGAATTAGTTAACTTCTCAGATCAAATGACGGTCTTTACAATCCTTTGTTTTCATATTAATAACAAAAAATATTCAAGTCCTCCCACTGACGTATAGGGAAAGCAATTGTTTTCTTCTTAAGATATTATTTCACATTATAAATCATGAAATGACAAAGTGATTAGTCCCATTGTAATATTCTATGACCAAAAATAGTTATTAATTTAGGTTTTGTTTTCAGACAATGTTCACGCTAATAAATAAAGATTTGGAGTTAATTAAAAAAGCCACTTTCTCCACTTAACTCTGTCATGTTCGATTGAATTAGTAAAGTCCGTTAAATGTAGCAAAATTGTTGGACTTAATTTACTTCGTTCTATTAAATCAAACATGACAGATTTACATGGAAAAGCTTGCTTCACTTTACTTGTTTTATTTACAGTATATCCAGAAGAAAAACATAATTTGTTATTCACTCTCGACGTATTTTTATATAACGTATTGGTACAATTGCAGTAATTGGACCAATAATGTAGAATGCAGTGAAGTTGTTTTTTTTACTTTTCATAATACATTTCAGTTGTAACTTCTAGTTAAGTTGGCACAAAGAAGTGTTGTTTTGGCATAGACGTTACTTAATGTTTAATGCTGATGACACGACTGCTGGGATAAAATATTATGTACGTATATTTCTTTTTCCTTGAAGCAGCCACACTGATTTGTGCAGATATCACAGCCTCATGGCCTGGCAGTCTAAACACTCTGTGCAAGTGTCGCTACATGTGGTGCAGAGAAATGGAGAGTATAAAAGCCACTCAGGTGAGCCGCCTCCATGTTGCATTATTGTGGTCTGAGAGTGGGTCAGACAAGGAGCGGATAGGCCAGGCTTAGTAAGCATCCGGGACAGGGATCGAGTTGAGCAGCCAGGCAGAGAAGAGCAGAGATCCCAGGTCCCAGAAGACAATATGGAGGTGTGGGCTGACAGCCGGCATCAGGTCTGCTCCTACATGGGCGAGACATGCATTTATTGGCTTGGTGGCAGTCCCTGAAGACTTTGGGCATGTACCTGGAAGAAACCATGCAATGCTTTATGTCTTATATAATTGGACTTGCGTTTCTGTCTGCCTTGTAAAATCCAAAAGGAGAAGATATGACCGTGACATGTTTCCAACCCGGTGCACTAAGCGTATTCCCATATAAATTGACAGTACATGTGTCAACAGATGGCTGATGTGTAGTCGTGTGTGCTCTTCTGTGGGCAGCCCTTCAACACATACGAGAAAGTGTGAAAGCACAATGTAAACTCAGATTCCCCATTGCACTGCGGTGGCCTGGGAGCTGACGGGCACTGAAAGATTAAAGGCATAACACCGCTCGTTGCCTAATTATGGGCACGTCATAAGGGATCAGACTGCCAGTTCTAATCAGCCTGCAAGTCTTACAAAACACTATCCTAATACGTCCAGCTTGGCCTTTAAGAGTCCTCAAATTGCTTAGTATAGCCTTTAAATACTGTTATCATCCCAAAGTTACAGAGTTAAACTGTTTTAAATTGAGGAAGACAAGTAAATTAGCCATTTTTAGACACAGATTAAAACTAAGTCGGCTCTCTATTCTCGGGGGTGAATTCAAAAAATTTCAATCAAAAGCAGAGCCCTATAGTCTAAATTATACGTTTTAAATCAGATGTCTTTCACAAAAACACCCTTGTCATTGTATTGCAGGAAACTGGCTCAGAGAATTCTCTAGTTTGAAAAGTGGTTCATGAGGAAAGAGAAGTCTATAGGTGACGTGTTGCAAAAGTTCTGCTCTTTAAGAAGTGATGATTTATTAGCCCAAAGCACAACTGTCATCTTCAAATTGATACAGCTGCAAATAACATACGGTTCTATGTTTTCTCTGTAAATATTCCCTCAATTTTGCTGCATCTGACTGATGAGATGAGCATATGTTAAATGCACATTTCTGCAGCTGTTTTCAAGAAAAGGCAACAGTGGAAGAGTGTCAGATGCCAGTGGCAAGCAGACACTCATTATTCGGCTTGACTTTGAAAGACGATACGTTGCTCTCGCCCGGTTTATAGTCGGCTCGTCTGGCCTCCTCTGACCGGTGGCCAGCGGGGCATCGAGGGAATTCCACCAGCTTCTTAAATGGTCGCAGTGGTCAAGGATAACTGCTGCTCAGCTATTCAATACAGCTGCTTTTAACAAGTGCAGATAAGGCGAGTGATAACAAACGTGTTGATTATGTGTGTTCCAGGCTGACAAAGGATGTGTCCAATGCGATCAGGTAACTTCATTAAGACATTATTGTTTACACACATATAAAAGATAATTTCAGAAGTTTTTATTGAAACATTAAGATTCAGAGATCCTTTATTTGTTCCACAATGGGGAAATGTCAGTGTTGCATCCCCACTGACAGAACAGTAGGAATGAGGAGCTCACAGCACAAGATAAATGAACAATAATTTGTTTTTTCCACTCGCGCATATCTTATATCCCCCTACATGGTGCGTTCACAGGTAGTCCGTACAAACAGTATTGTTGAACATTACAAGTAATTCAAAATAAAAAAATAAAAAAATCTCTAACTTTAGAATGAAGAAGAAACAAATATGAAATCTCTATCTTTAGCATAATGAGTACAAGAAAACTCTGACTTTAGCATAATAAAGAAGTATAAAATCTCTACCTTTGGCATAATAGCATGACTAAATATTAAAAAATATGAGCGTATTTCAGCCCATCCGGCCTTCCTCAGAGTGCAGACAGATGCAGCAGTGTGCCAAGTAACTAGTCTAAAGGGAGGGACTTTATTAGGCCCCTCCCTTTAGAGGGGCCTAATGAAACCCATGACAATAAACCCATTATACGCATACACAAAGCACAGACACATATTCACCACGATGTACAATATCAAAAGAGAAATGCAAGTAGTACATGCACAGAAGCAGTATTTACCATTATGTACCTATTTCTAGCAACTGTTTAATCCATATTTCTTGTCTCTTATACAGGGAACACGACAAGATGGGGAGAAGGGAGACAAGGTAATGTTACAAAATGAAAAATGTTCTCACTTTGGGCCCTTTTTTGTGCTGATTTCAATATTCCAAGTGATAAAAGATAGTGATTATGTTGAACAAGCAATTATTGAAGCACCATAAGTCTATCTTTGCAGCAGAACTGTGCTCTAACATCATGACTCAGCGCACACCTTGATTAACTTGCTAATAGTTCCTTATCAAGATAATGTGAGGAATAATGGAACGAAGCCCCTGATCAAGCCAGCCTGCAAATTGCCTATTAATGGTGTGGTAGTGAAGTCACCAAGAAACTGGTCAAGTGTAAGACTGCAGCTTTAAGTGCTGCTGCATCTTTTCTATGCAGTTAAACACATTTATTGGTGCGCTTTCTTCTCCCGCAGAGTGTAAACCTGATCCATGCTCACAGACCTAATAAGAACCTGTGTTACAATTAGGGCGCTGTGTTGACCCTTTAGGCACACGTTTTTTTCAGAAATTTGGTGAGAAACAGATAAAAGGTAGTGCCCAGAAACTTTCTAAGGGATAGAGATGTGTAAAGAACGTTTGTATAGAGGGAACTGCATAAAAACCTATTTGGAAATATAAACCTATGATGTGCACCATCTTTGTTGCACATTGTAAAAGAAGATGACCAAAAAACAGAATCTATGTCAAGTCCTAGAATAATGAAAAAAACAGCAATACATGCCTCACTGAAGATGTAACGTATAAAAACAGTGTTATGGCATAAACAATGGATTTTGAATTGAACATATTTTGGAACCTCAACATATTTCTCTATGTATTTGTTCAGATTTAATTGAAAAATGAAAATCTCATTAAAAAGTCATCTGCAGCCTGCGGTTGACTCTTTTATTCAAAATGACCTTGACAGATATTTGTTTTCACGAATCACAGCTTTTGAATTCTTAGAATTGTTGATTGACTAACTATGGCAATAACAATCTGTAGATTATTAAGTCTTGTTTTATAATGTACAATAAAACTATACAAACTATGTCATGATCACAGAAACTTTATTTTTCATCATGTGAAGCTATATCTATATTAATATGACCCATTGATGCTGCAGCATGGTAACACTATTTTGTCTTTATTTGAAGGGGACGAGTGGGGGCTCGGGTCATGCAAGAAGAGAGGGCAAAAGGGTGAGTAAACACAAACCACTTGTGGCCACTTTAACGGTTTTCAAGTGTGGGCCCAGCAGCTGAGCAGCTTTTGTTTCCTTAGACATGTTTATTTATTTGCCTCGACGCAGTCAGAGGGAAGCAGTGGCGCAGTGTGGATGATCTGTGCTCTGTGCATTAGAGTCTGCCTCCACCGGCCCACACACACGGACCATGATTGGCAGCACATATGGATATTATTGTGCAGCCAACTCTTTTCAATTTCAACAAATGTGTTGGATTCAGCAAAAGCTTTTAAAACTTTCTGTGTGTGGCATTTCATGTTCAGCTGTTTACTACAATCAGACGCGGTGTGAGTCAGCGCTGACTTATGTTCTGCCAAACAATGTTCATTTAGAGAGAGGGGCTAATTTGCAGAGCTGTTAGGAGCAGAAAAAATGCTAATTAGACATGGCCTGTAATATTCTAAGGTGTTCACGAATTAAGCCGAACAGTTTGACCCTCATTTGTTTAAGTGATGGTTGCCATGACTGGATAATATTCAGCACACTGTGCCCTTGGCTTCTTGTGGTCAACTGTGTATAAACATTTCAAATTGTTTCAAGTGTGAGGCTTTATAGTTTGAAGAGAAGAAATCATATTACAGAGGAGGGATTACATTAACATTACTGAGCGCTATAGAAGAGAATGTAAAGGACGACTGGCTTTTCATCCCCTTTGTTTGTTGTTTAATTAAAATGCTTATGGTGTTGTTCATGTCTTTAAAGATGTTATTCCACAAGGAGGCCTGTGCTATATGTGCCGTTTATTCTGTTGGGAAATCTATTTAGCTTCAGTTGCCTTGAATGGATTTTGAAATTCTTTTCATTTTCCAGTTGGTGGAATTTTGAGGTTGGTTTGCTTTAACTTTCTCATTTCTGAAAAACATTTGTATTACTCATAGACCTGGTATAACTTATTACAATGCAAACATGATATCTACCCACTTTAAACAATAATAAACATATCACATATGTTCGGTCTGATGAGGATAAAATTACAAAATCCTTATTTTGTATCTTTTAAATTCCTTTATTTGATAAGAGACATTAATGAACATCCGTAATTGTAAAGCGGGCAGAGGCAAACTAATGTGTTGCTATCATGGTTGCTAAGGCAAGCTGGAGTTTTTCCGCGAATGAAAACATCTGATCTGGTATCTGACTCACCATATAAACACCAGGATCACAGAGAGCATTCAACCTAGACTTTTTAAATCCTAAAATGATGAGTGAGACATAAACAGGTACTGAGTTAGAGGAGTTTACTTTTCAATATAAGTCAATAGGAGCCAGAGCGAGTTGGAGCAACACTTTGTCCATGAGCACTTCCCTACTGGGCTTCACTGAGCGAGGGAGTTTGCATAGTCCATCTATATACAATCCATCCTTTCCAGACATGAACACACAACACTACAACCATACTGCAGCAATACTTTCTCAAATGAGTTTCTTAATTTCAATACTCAATCATATCCGATTTGACAAGCAAAGTCCAAAACACATAAAACTCTTAAAATTTCTCTGAATCCTTACTAGTCTCCAGTGCACATAAGTAGGTCAGGCCAATGTTTTCTCTTTTTACTCAGATTTAGCAAGAGACGAGATGATGCGCAGCGTTCAGACATCTGGACACGAGTATCGGAAACATCCCCACCCTTCTGGCCGTATAGCCCCAGACAATTTATGACCCATCGTCGCTCATATTGTTCCTCAAAGGGTCATTTCCTTCAGAGCTCAGAGTAACAGTAATGTTTCAGGGCATTGGAGGCGAGAGTCTATAATGAACAACGTGAGCTCTGGTGCCAGCTGCAGATGTTTTTGACGCTGTTGTCTCTCTACCTCATTAGTCAGCTTATTTTATGTTTGTCCTTTGTTTTGAAAATAAAGACACATCATTTACGCCACTGACTGCCGTGTAGACTTGGTCGATGGTAATTGGCCGTAAGGAAATGGCAACTGTTTAATGGCTTCAGTGGTATATGTTTTGTCTGTTTTATATTTCACCACCTTAACTGCTTACCTTACCTGAAGAGAAAGTTACAGTAGCTAAAAAAGTGCTATTATTGATCATGTTTTAGTGATAATTGGGTAAGTTTGTGCTCTGCAAACTTTCTTAGAATCTGATACTGTTTTCGGGGCTTCATTTTATCTCATTGGAATGCATATTTGTCTTGCATAATTCACAGACCAAGGTCACAAAGAATTTGGAGTTACAATTTAGAGTAATTTCCATAAAATCCCCATATTTTATCTCAATCATTAAATTCATGCCAGTTGTACATTTTTTTTGTGGTAGGGTCATTTTGGTCACTGCTATAAACAGCTTTATGCATCTAGATTGTTGTATTGGTTTGTTCTCTCCATCAAAGCACGTTCAGGATTCAAGGTAAAGGGGAAGGTTAATACATGATTTAAATGTTTTAACCACTAGTCTTTATTGGACAGAACAGTTTGAGATGATGACGAGAGACTGAAAGAGATTTAGTAAATTATCAGTTCAGGGACTGGGAATCCAGCAGCGCAAGGTTTTAACCACGTGATCACCAGGGTGCACTGTCATAGTATTTCATTACATCATGGTTGTCTTATTTTTGCTATGTTGGACATTCTTTATGTTGTATAAACATGAACAGGTCTTTTAAAAAACCTTTTAGCACAAATTGTCGATTTCTTGTACCCCTGGTAAAGACACCTGATATTTTAATACTGGGTCTTTGATAGCTCCCTGACTTCACGGTTACTGTTAAATGCGCTTAGGTTTCAGGTTATTCTTAGTCAAGGAGTCACATGGATGCCCTGAAGCTGTTGACCAACCTGTGTTTCTGCAGTCTGCCGTACTATTTTGGGACGGTGGACGTGTATCATTACCAGCCGCCCGCCTGTGGCCAGCTGATACACCGAGAGGCTCTCACCTAATTAGCAACTCTTGTATGCGGTGGCCACTTATTGAGCCACACTCAGAGACATAGTAAAGCATATTTTGGGTTGACCACATTCCATTACTTTGAGAGAATTGCCAGCAGTAGAAAGCTTTCACATGACTTTAGTCTCAACTTGAGCCATCTCTCCCAAGACTGTCTGTTTCAATTTATTGTTTGAGCAAAATACAAGCACTCTAAGCCATTTAGATTTTCTTCAAGGAGACACAGCGGACACTGTAGAAAGGGGATAGAGATAGTTGTGTCGTTTCCACTGATCCTTTTCGAAAGCTTAGAGCAACATATGCAAGAAAGCATATCAAGGGCAGTCACCCAACCACTGCTGTGACCCTGTGTCTAACATTCACAGAATCTTGATTGTATCTTATTAGCTTGATGGATGACCGCTTCACTTTGTCAGGTACCGGCCAGTCCGACCATGGCGAAGAATTTATGGCAAAGTATTGCCCCCACACTGCATATAACCATTAATAGTAATGGTAACGGCTTGGTTTTATCTATTATGGATGGCATCGATACGGAATGGCTGGCAAAGAGTAGGACTTTGGGACACAGCAGGACATTACAGACGATCAAATATGAAGATTGGGAACACCAGTAAAACGAATGTGCCCCTCTGCTGTGCTAAAATATTCATCAGGTCCTGGTAACGATGTCCTAAGCTGAATGTTGTCATTGTAGGTACAGCTGACTTATGCAAGTCCCCCGAGAGATGAGAGTGAGAGGATGGACGGCAATTATCAGGTTAAGTGATTTGACCTTTGAATAATAGATCTAATCCTTGGATAAGCTCAGTTACAAGTGACGTAATTCTGATATTTATCGTGCATGCGTACCTGCGTACAATTTAGGAGCACCTTACATGCATTAACTCATTAAATTGACTTTTTTAGGTGATAATTTTTGTTGGATCGTAGCATGTTTGGTTAAATGCAGAGACGCCATGTTTGATTGATGCTGTGCCAAGTCCCCTGAGCGTATATGTTGGTAAAGGGTTCAGGGTCCCCTCCGTTGGCAAGGTAATGTTGCTATATTTCCATGGATTACTGCATAATCTGTTTAAAAGGCTGCCTCGTGAAAATGTAATCCAGAGCTGATCCTAAACCATTCTATGTGAATTCACCTATACTAAGTATGTGTGAATCTGACACTTGGCCCTTTTATATTTGCTCTGGAAATATATACATAGATCTGCCTCTAGTCTCGTGATTAAAGACATTATTATTCAGGTTCATTATTTTGTGCCTATTGTAAATAACAGGAATGTACATCTTTTGAAATAGACTTTGATCAGTACAGGGTTGTGGTCTGTCAGATGTCTCATGTTTGTTCTTATCATACAGTGCGGTGATCGAGTAGAAATGATGAAACTCCAGCTTCGGGAAGAACTGTAGCGCGGAGATGTCTGCGAGGTGAATGAATTATGCAGCACCACTTTAGTTATATATATCTTGTTACTGTAGTGTTTATTAAGTTATTTTAAATTACCATTAGAATCATATATCTACATATCTGCTCCCGAACATGAAAAATAATGTGGATTAGTTTTGCGTCTGCATTTTGAGGCTCATAACATTCATTCATTTATCCATACTTTGGTGGAAGGAGGGTAAATTCATAAAAATGCTCGGCGAATGAACACATAGTTAAATTAAAATCAATCAGCTGGAAAGAAGCCCCGTGTATTATGTGTCTATAAAGCCGAGTTGGGTCAATGTTTATTTTCTCACAATCCACCTCATATTCATTTTGTTAGATGCATGAATGCTTCTTTGGATTTAAACTACAAATCTATCATATTACGGAGAACTGCACGGTTTTTGTGCAATTTGTATTTGAAGGGCACAAGACAAAATCATGTATCAGTTTGAGGATATATTAGGGATTCCGCTGGGAGCCAGTTATGTCTAGCTATGTTTGTTGCTAAATTTCTCTCAATCATTACCACGAGTTGACAATGACTACCTTAAACTCAGCTCAGTAACTCAGAAATCATGCCATTGTAAATATTTTGGTGTAAATCAATACTGTGCTTACATAA